AAACGAAAAGCTGGAGGTATACATCTGTCGGCAACACCGACTGACACATTTTTTATTTGTTGGTATATTGTGATTGCCTTAATGAGATATATACATCGAAAGTTATTGATAGTCCTTTGGTTATTTAATGTTGTGTAGTTTGAGTTGTATGGCAATTGAAGTAGGGATTCCGTAACATTTATGTACATGCAAAACTAGCGGACCCAGAGCATTTTTAATAGTTCCATTTATCATATGTAATTTATGTCATAACTGCATCTTTAGGGGATTATCAAATGTTCGGCCCGGATAAACTTAAAGCGATTTCCTGCATTTCTAACAAATGTCCGCATACGGTGCACTGATTTTACTAAAACTGTTTGCGATGTTCCCTGTTGCTCGCAATTAAAAACATCCGTTTGAAAATGGTAAACTCTCAAAATCAACATTTCTATTTCTTCGAACAAAATTTAACATTTTGACGAACCTATCTTAATAATAGTGTACATTTAGATTTTGATTTGTTTATTAGTTAAACTGTCTGAAGTACAACTATCAAATTGGATAAACCCAATTCAGCGATAGGGCGCCTTGAATGGCGCTAAAACGGGAAATTGTCTATAATATTCGCTCAGCGATCACTACGATCGAGGATTTCCCCTAGTTGTTTTGTTTGTTTTGTAAACATTCAGTACTGCGCCTAAAGCCGCTGGAAAAATCCAAGTGTCCACGAGTCAACATCCTACAAAAGGGGAATTCCAATCACACTTGACTTCCTTTTGGCAAGATTAAAATTAGTTGGATATTTGCAATTGGATGTCAATGATAGACGTCGGAAGTTTCATTAATGCGAATCGAAGGAATTCCAATGTCGTCTGAATTTCCACCTTTCTTCAATTTGCACACCTCCTCATGCTGTGAGTGACACGCAAAATCTCAAGTGGCTGCGTTAATCGTGCAGTCTAGCACACACTCGACCATAGTGGGAACAACAACAACAATAACACCAACACCAAAGCGTTTGGTAGGATCACAATCTGTCGTTGGCTGGAATTCTAGGTATGACACTATTTTAAACAGGCCGCAACAACAACTTCAACACCCTGCCATTGTTTCAGATGGTCTGTTCTCGGATTGTCGCTGTTGTTGTTATGGCCGTACTAAAATTGCAATAGCAGCAATACAAATCCAACTTAGAACCTGGGGTGGAAGGCAATAAATGGAACCACTTGAGAAGACAAAAGATTCAGGGCGACAACATAATAAAATGGTTATATGGCCATTGTCCACTGCACGGCCGAATGGTGGGAACAACAACACACAACCCGCACGCACACACACCAGGATCATGGCAGAGCCAGGATTACAATGGATTTTACTTAATAACCACTTGAAAATTTTATGACGGTACCAATTCTTGAAGGCGTAAAAATCTCTATGACGTCGGACAATAAACAACACTTGAAATCGCTGCGGGGAGGAAAGTAATTGATGAACAGAGTGCAGCACCGCCGCACAGAACAATGGCCGAGGTGCGAAGTTTCCGTGAAAATTCCAAGGACTCGAATGCCCGAATGAATGATCGCCTACCTGTACGGCGAATGTTCACATCGGTGTCATAAAGTCCTCATGATAAACGCTGCCAGGTAAGCGGCGTGGAAAGTGATAGTTGCACGAAAACACTTGCTCTATCAAAATACAAGCGATCCTTTAAAGCGAACAGCCGTTCCCTCGAAGGAAATCGTGCACATACGAAGGAAAATACTGCACACTGAACAATGAACGCAAATCAAGGCGCTCGGCGATTTAGATGAAAAGTAAACAATGAAATTCATGGGATGATCATAAAACATTGCCAGACTAAGAAGCGCCATGGTCGGACTACCTCGACAGTACAGGGAACATGTGCAACTTGTTGGCCAGTACACGGTACGTCGATTGGACATACACACATGCACATTCGGATGTACATCTGTATGCATGTGTTGCGCATTTACCTATAATTGGCCGATTAACGATTAAAATTAAAGTACAGAAAAAAACTATAAAAATCAACATTTCGTTGCGTATCCTTTATTCTGGAGAATACTCGTACATCCTTTAAGTATTGAGGATTTTAAAGTATTAATTTTTTTCTAACTATGTTGCTTCCCAGGCTATTTTACGGATACAAATAAATCGTCTTTGCTGTGTCAAGTTTCTCGGTTAACCTTCGAAGTAATGTTCTCCAACAGGTTCTGGTTTGGGTTAAGAGCAGTAAATTGAGCAGGACATGGGAGAACTTCAATTGAATTGTTGCAGAAAACACTTTTAGTGTATGTTTTTGACCGAGAGACATTTGAGAAATATCTTACCTAGCATGGAGCAGCATCACCACTTTTCATAGATCACGCTACATGAAACGATCCATAATTTATAAACGAGAAACAACCCCATTCCATTATGTTACGTGTTTGGTATGTGTTTGGCTTTTGCAATGGAATATGCCATCTAAATACTTTATATATGTAATAATAAATCTAAGCGGTTTCAAATTTGACTTGAGAATGCAGTCGGATCATTTCAGATTGTACTTTTAATAAAAAAAAATCTTCGGGACGTGAAGTTCTCCAATATGAGTTGGCGATGTGTGAACAGTCTTCAAAAACTTGTTAATTAGCGTACAAATGATTGATCTGTTAATTGAATATTTTGCACTCAATTAAAGTCTGGATAAACCAGCTCTCTAACCATCAAGAATTTTATTTTCCCTTGAGTACTTATTTCGTATATATATCGTCATCAATGCAAACGGACGTAACTACAGAAAAATTCAAAATTGACTTTTTGTTTGATTATTGTTCGTTTAATCAAACAAAAATTTAGACATTTAATGTGAAAAACAGCGATCTTATTAAAGAAATTCAAACGGACATAACTACAATAGCATGTTTTATTAATGCAAACAGACGTAAATACACTCCGGTATAAAGCTGAAGCTCGCAATATTGAAGATAGAATTTCTGAACGTACATTAATGTTACTTCTGGGATGTTTGGTATTGAAAATGAGATATATCGGGCAATGTTCTACGGTAGCCCCCATATAGCGGTACCCCCAAAATTCTGTATTTTAAGTCTTTTCTTAGTTTTTTAACTTATCAGCTATAATTAGGTATTTCTCAATACTCGGTATTCTAGACTCCATAAAGTACGCTCTTCAAAATTCTATCGCTTTCGGAGAAATATTTTATGTCTTTAGTTCAGCATTTACATCAAATCGGTCGAAAATGTGTATCTGAACCGATTTTCAGCAAGCATCATTCTAGACTCATTTGAGTACGCTATGCCAAACTTCGTGCAAATCAAAAGATATAGGGGCTTTAATGCAGGACGAAAATTTGTGTAGGATCTGAACCGTTTTTACGAAACTTAACACACATCACTCTAGGCTTAATCCAACCGAACCGATTTCAAAAAAATTCAATACACGTCATTCTAGACTCAATTTGGTACGCTGTACAAATTTTAGTCTCATTCAGATAATTATTAGTCACATTGTTGTACTATAATTGTGTTGTATTTACATGTTTTTGTTTCAGAAAATATCATGTCAAAAGGACGCAACTGACATAAAATCTTTAAAAACGCATATAAATTATTTTTTTTTTTTTCAAAAAAATAAATTCGGCCAGCCTTACTCCATTTTTATAGATTTTATAACGTTTTTTGCTTCTCCCGTAAAATTAGTAAAACGGACGTAGCAACCGTTCGCATTTATGATGACGATATATATGTATATATATATATATATATATATATATATATATATACCTATTCTATTCAGAAAACAGCACAGTCCCCCATTTTCTACACTCAAGTTAGATGAACGTTGGCAAATTCAAATTAGGCTTGTTTACATTTTATTTTTTTTTTAGATTTAATTTTCATGAGTATTTCGTGTTACCGTAAGCTTTCTATAATTTCAGGTCACAAAAATAATTAAAGTGTTTTTTTTTTAATTAAAGGAAAAATATTGGTAAGCTCAATAGTATTAATAACTATTTGTTAAGTTTATTGCAATGAAATTGCATATGTATGTCAAAGCGTCAAAGATCTATGCAGACGTTTTGCTAATTACAATCGCAAACTCCTTATTTAGGTATATTTATTGGTTGCCGTAATTTGTATGTAACTAACGCTGAACTTTCCAGTTTACACACATATTTGCTCTGCTCACGAACGTGTAATGAAGCGAAATTGTTTTCGATTCTCCCCTAATTTTTGAATACTGGAACAGATCAATTATTGTTATAACTATACATCCTTGGCTTAATTCTCTTTCGAATGACCTTCTTCAATTGCAATATGGGCATTTCCGGCAAATTTGAGTTGAATTTGTGTCATTAATTGTGCTTAAATACGCGAAGTAACGGCAGAAAAGTAAATAAGCATAAATACAAATTTAATGACTATAAATACAGACACTGCCGAAATAAAAACTGCAAAATCAAAAATGTCGCATTTGAAGTCGCGTGGGTGACCATAATTTTGTGGCTTTTATCTTAGAAGTTAAAAACCGGAGGCTCTCAATTTTTTACCACTGATAGTACTCCTTAAGTTCTACAAAAAAGAATTAAGAAGAATTGTAAAAAAATAAATTGTTTTTGATTTATTTAACATTTAAAGTTTGATTTTGCCTCTGAAAGTCGTGTAAGTGACTGCGAAAGTGTCCATATGAATAAAGTGATGTTTGTGCTACATTTACTTTTTATTACAATTAAATTCTAATTTAGTTATTCGATAAACAATTCAAAATAACACAAAAAATATTAAATGGGTGGGAACTATAGTATATCAATGATATACCTGCTATATATTTCATCAGTTTATCAGTTATTTTTTGTATGTGCATCAGTGTGGTGTAGGCTATAGAGATATACCAGTTATTTTTGCCGCTACTGTCATCAGTCACTGCAGCATAGACACAAACCCTAACTAATGTGTATGCGTGTGTGTACAGATGAATTACTTGGTTCCTCTTTACATGTCCATGTTGAGCAGCAAAGCGAAAAAACTGTAGGCATTGTTCATGGTCTGAAATGAGACAACGTGTATACAAAAGTGTGGTGCATTCACATTTAGCCTACCTTCGTGTACACGGGTAATCCGATGTCGAAGAATTTGCCCGTTCTCAGAACCACTGGCCTATTCAAGTACTGCATATACAGCAGTATAATGCGCCGGTCAGGCAATGCCATTTCCATCCAATTGCAGTTGTAGGCACTGTCCATAAGTCGCAAGGATTCCACCGTCAATTTGTTGGCATAGTAACAGGGAAGGAATATCTGGAATGTCATACATACCGCATACTGCACGAGATATGCGAATTTGCCCGGATCGTCAAAGAAGTTGACATTCTGCAGACGATAAAGGCTGAAGCAAAGAACCAATGCACTCAGTAAAATTTGTGCCAACACTGGGTACGAAACGATGCTTTCACATTGCTTCGACATTCTGTAAGAAGGGACGGAATCAGAATAATGGAATTTATATTACAAATCAGTCGGCACCTCTTCACTTTCTGTTCGAATTGTACAATTCGAATTATGTCCTTCGTAACGTTCCTGTTTGCCTCCTTGGGGTTACCATTCAGTTGCTGTAGGCGCATGGCAATTAGTTTGTAGCAGACAGCCAAGTGCAACATGATGTAGCACTGCCACATGTCCAGGGTGATGTTGGAAATGCAGGTCAGTGGCGTCGCCAAGGCCCCATAGAAGTAGGCGTACCAGTAATAAATCGGTTGATTCCAATTAAATGGCGTCCAATAGGGGAATGGTAGCTGGTAGGTGTTAAGAAACAAGACTGCTGCGAATGCATAGACCACGACGCTGAAGCTACATGTAATGTATAGGAAGGACACAATGCCAAAAGTCCTGAAGGACTGCCTCCACATCCATTTCTCCTGCACGCTATGCAAACGAAATTGTTCACTACTCCGCCACTCCTCGAACATTTGCCTAGCTATATTTCTGTGATACAATATGCTTATGATCTTCACCACCAGTGCCGTCTCGGTAAGGGCTACGTATAAGACGTCTGTAGCCTGATTTAGATCAGCACTAAAATACACATCCATCCACATAAGAATTGTGTACGTAAATGATAATGGAACGTGAATGAGTAGAGATTTAACCATCGCTGGCAAGGCGCCTTTATCGTCCTCTGTCCATAAGCCGACAAACCACAGAATTTTTCGTAGAGTTTTTGATTTTTGCAAAGTATCGAAGGACATCGTCGAAACTGTGTGTGTACTATGAAAACTTAGAGCTTATATACGTTAGCCCTGAGCACCATATTTTGTTGATATACTAAGTTAATCACAGGGCTTAACACGTTATATGAATCTTAAGGCAATAATTTTAGTATTTTTTTTTTTTTGATTTGAAGATGACAAAAATATTTGCCTAAAAGTATGCAATGTTTTGTGTTAAAATTGGTTTAATTTCTGAGAAGAAAAACACCATTTGAAATTCAAAACGGAAACAATAAATAATATGCCCGTAATGTGCTAGCTTAATCAAAAATGTGCATAAATAAATTGTTATTTGACATTCTTCACTATTGAAATGAATATTAAAATAATTTCTGCATTTGTTAGTAAATTTAAATTAAATTTCTTCATCAGCAGTGCTTAACAACTGACATTTTTAGGGACATTTGGGTAGGTTTTTATGCTTCTATTTGTTTTCCCGAACCTAATTTTATATACGCAATCCCTAAGGTAAGTGCCCTGAAGAAGTGTGGGGTGGGTTCAACAACTTGTATACAGTCAACTGAGCATGAGCTTATTTTTCTATTATTACAAATGGACAGACATTTTGATAAGAAAAAATTGAAGCCAAATAAATGATCAAATATTTACTAGTAACATATGTGACTACTATTGACTTACTACTGACCATGTCCACATATGTGACGTTGCGTCTATATCTGTAAACTACTGACTTACTACTGACCATGCAACTAGTTCATTCTCAATAACAAGTATCGTCTGGGATACAGTTCGTCAGTAGTATTGGTGACAAAGTCAATTTAAGTCAGTAGTGATTTACTAGAACATTTCCTACAGGGTGGGGCATCAAATTTACATTCCAGTAAATAACTGTATGATGGCGCTCTATATACTTCAAGTCAGCGTTGGGTAGTGTAAACAAAATTCGACCCAGCCTAATTTCTAACCGATTTTGCAATGTATTTTAAATCAATGTTCATTGTTCATTAAACACAGTGGGCGATGCTAGAAGATAATATGTAATTTTTTACGATTATTTGAACAATGCTCATAAATAATTGTAGATTTACTTACATGTATATGTTTAAATACGAAGACTACGAGTCTGTCAATTTAACTGGTGTCGGACAGAAATGGGGCTGTAAATAAATTCGAAAGCTTGTCTTTGTTCTTTTAGGAAATTGACAGACTACGAGTCTGTCAATTTAACTGGTGTCGGACAGAAATCCGGCTGTAAATAAATTCGAAAGCATGTCTTTGTCCTTTTAGGAAATTGTGAGTTAACAAGAATGTCTACAATGTTTGTTAACTTTATACAACAACTCGTAAAATATAGATTTTTGAAAACATCAGCACATTGATGACATTATATTGAAATATGTATGTATAGGTATATAGTCTCGTACGAAATTTAGTGGACGAAAACAGTGTATACACTTTGCGATAATTCGAGTTTTACCTTAGCCTTATTAGATGGTATTTCTCAGAATACGCATTCATTGGAATACGCATTTTTGCAAATCGATACAAATGCTCGTCCAGTGTGCACTAATGGAACAAACAATTAAAAATCTATCACTGGGTTACTGGCTGGCTCAACAGTGACAGGTCCCATAAAAGCCCGCAACGCCCTTCCAATTAACCAATTAAGTCATTCAGTTACACAATAATTATAATTTTGTATTTTATTTATTTTTTAATTAATAAATCAAAATAATTTTTATAACAAACTTTTTACAAGACAAATACATATCGGATTACCCATACATATTTGCATAACGTGATATATCGAAAGGGGCGAAAAAAAAAACAAAATAATGGACAATTTAGGGAATTCTATTTCGTACCTAATTTAAGCGACTTAACGTAACGTAATAATCAAATATTTAGATTGGAGAGGAAAGAACAAATTAAGAGATTATCATATCTAACTCCAGGTTCGTGGTTCTGATGCCCCACATCGCTTAACGAGAGGGCAGGCACACTGATTACTTCAGTGGAACACCCGGAGCGGGAGCAATGTGTTTAAGGCAAGGACGCGGAGAGGAGTGACAGGAGGAGGTCATAATTAATAATATAAAAATACATACATACATACATACACAAAAAGTAAGAATAGAAGTATTTTAGACATGAGCATTTGATAGTTTTGAGTGCTCAGTGTGAGCGAGAGATTATTTACAATAGTGTTCCTGGTTTTCGCAGGGGCCTTCTCTGGCCCAAGAGACCCAAGCCGCGTGGCTGCTGTTTTGTTGTGGTTTCTGGTTCTGCGGGAGCTTCTTCTTTCTGCTCTTCATTGACATCGGCAGCATGCTCCTCATTGGAGTCGCCGTCCTCCGATGATGCGGCGTCATCTTCAGCTGGTGCCTCTGTGGAAGTCGAGAGAATACATGTGAGCGATCGATTGGAGTTTGCTAGATTGTTTCATATTTCATACCTGTCGTTGTAGTGCTTAGCACACGTTTCTTGGCAAGCAGTGGATTGACTTTGCGTGGAGGAGCTGGAGCTGCTTTTGGCTTGAGAGCATCAGTCTTTGGAATACCACCTATGCGTGGGCGAGATTTTAGGCGATTGAGGCCACCTATGTTGGCAGATGGTTTTTCTTCGGCTGGCTTATCGGCAGACTCCTCCCCATCGCCCTTGACATCGTTGTGGTGGCTGCTGTCGGCGGCAGAGTCGTCAGAGGCAGCTGCTGGTGCTTCGGTTGTGGTGCGTGCGAGTTTTCCGCGACCTGGCAAGCGACCACCGGGGGAGCGGTTAATGTTGAAACGCGATGCTTTTGTGGGAGCGGCAACTGGTGTGGCAGCCTTTTCATCTACAGTATTTTCACTGTCATTGGCGGCATCGGATTCGGAGGGCGCTGGCTTGCTGGTGGTAGTGCGACTGCGTCCACGTAAATTCAGTGTGGGACGACCGCGAACAGAGCGTGCAGTGGTGCTGGTTACGGTTTCTTCCTGGGCACCATCATCTTCTTTAGCCGCTGGGGCTGAGGTAGTTGTACTGCCGCGAAGATTGAAACGATTGCGAGCTGTCGGGAGAGAAGGATGATTTCACAGAGGGAACAGTCACCTATGTAAATACCGGTAAACTTACGCTTATTGCGTCCAAATCCAGAACTGACTGGTTTTACTTCTTTCACGGACACCTCTTCTTCGTTATGTTCTTCGACAGTCGGAGCAGCAGTGGTTCTAGCACCAGGGCGAGTGCGGCCACCAATAGAGGGACGCGAGAAACGATCTAGGAATGCAGTGGACAATTAGAAAAACAGTAAAACGTTACCGGGAATACTTACTTTTGCCTGTTTTGGGGGCTTCAGCGGCAGATGGCGCTTCTGTTGTGGTCGTCGTAGTGGATGCACCTCCTGATTTCAACTTGAAACGATTGCGTCCGGGACTGTTAAGGCCGCCGCGCTTGCCGCCAAACAATGGTGCAGGGGTAGTTGTTGTGGTGGTGGTAGTAGTTGTTGTAGTGGTGGTGGTGGGCTCAGGCGTTGTGGTTGTGGTAGTTGTCGTTGTTGTTGTACTAGGCTCTTCTTCTACCATTGTGGTCATCATGTCTTCGCCATACATGTCTGTCGTATCGGGCAATGTTGTGGTCACATCCATGTCCATATCGGAGTCTGTGGTCATTTCCATGTTGTTGTTCTCATTGGCTAAAATGGCATACAAATCGAAAGCGGCCTTCTCCATAGCTGGCGTGGTTTGTTCAATGTCCTCGTCGGCACCCATCATAGAATCTTCAGTTTCGGAATTAGTTTTAGCTGATTCGGCTTCTTCGGCATCCTTAGTGGCTTGGGCTGCAGCCATTTCCTGTTCAATGGCGATGGCGGTCTTTGTGTCATCAGCATTGCGCGAGCCCTTGGCTTGCTTCTCATCGGTGTTGAATGTTTCACTGTCCACCAATTCCAAACTGGGACGTTTGACGCTTATTTTCTTCTTTTCGGCAGCAGAGTCGACTGAGTCAATAGCAGGAGTTGGAGCGACATCGGCAGCCTTGCCACGACTGGGGAAACGGGTGTTGAGGGGTAGGCGTTCGGTCTCAATGCTTTCCTCAACATTGGAAGAACGACCCTTGGCTTTGCCGGATACCAAGCTGTTGTCGCTGGGAGTAGCGGCGGTGCTACGCTCAATATTGGTGTAACGAGACTTACCTCTGGATTCTGCCTCCTCTTCCTCCTTGTCCTTGTCCTTCTCCTTATCATCGTCTTCCTCTTCGTAGTAGTAGACATATTCGTATTCGTAATCCTGGCCGTTGGGACCCTTTTTAATTTCAATGCGCGACTTTTTGTTATTTTCCGAACCGGCTGTATCTAAAGCTATGGCTTGGTCGACAAAACCGACGTTGATCTCATCATCGGCATCGAGTATTACCTTCTTGCTGGGTGCCATTGTCGTTAGCACGGTCAGGGGCATTTCTGTGGCTTTTTCGATTTCCTCCTTCTTCCTAGCTTCCTCGGCAGCAATTTCAGATTTGACAATTTCTAATTCAGCCTCCTCAATTGCTCTCTTGGCCTCGATGCTCTTCATAACGTCCTCGTTGATGAGGGCGCTCAGCACGGGATTAAGTTCCGGTTTCTCCTTGGTTGGCAGTAGATTCATATTTTCGACATCGTAATGGGAAATGCGATGAGCAGTTTGGAAGCCGTCATCACCGTAATCGCCAGGGCGTTTATGGGATGTTTCAAATGCAGCCACAGGTGTGCCGTCAGGCATTACGGATGATTCAACTGAATTGTCGGCCCAACATGTCGTTGCCAAAAGGCATATAACGAATCTGCAAAAAAAGACCATTTAACTCGGCTATTTACTGATTGTACAACAAATAAGATTGACCATTATTGTTTTCATTGCGATAATTCAAATGTGAATCTTATTGGAGATACGGTTTTTGAAAAATTCTAAAAAGTTTCGACTGAATTCGGAGTTTGGACTGAATTTCATAGCATAGCTTTATTACAACGATACAACCCATTATAGGGTATAACAAGTATATACGAAATTTGTCATTCCGTTTGCAACACCTCCAAAGAACCATCGAAGACCCCATATAGTATATTTTTAACATAGCTGAAGCCACGGTTCACTACTTTTAACTCCGGAATTATCTAAGTAGATGAGAAAAATTTCATAGTTTTAAATTTACTGATTTGCAGGTGGAAACTTTTCATGATATTGACCTCCAAATTTTTTGGTTTTTCTCGAGGAAAAGAAGAAGCCTACAAAATGAGGATTACGTCCCTTATGTATCGTTTTTCAAAATTTTATATGTATCTGCCTTTAAATTATGCTGACATTTTCAAAATTTTTTTTCGGAAATTGCTGTAATTTCGAATTTCATTTTCTTCTGAAAGACCCGTATATTAAGAGTCCACCTCATGGTGGAGGATATAAACAGTTAACGACGGATTTACATGTCTCTATTTCGAAGGTCCTATCCGCAGTTTCCAAACAACTGGATGCAGTTTAATGTGTCGATTACTCCATATGAGGAAAATACCTTCCATAGTTTGAAATAAAATAAAAATTAATAATCTTCATATTCCCTGTTCGAATGCACGTTGCCACGTTGACATTCGGTTAATATGTTCAACCTTGAAATGCTAATTGACTCCCCCTTTACTCATTGCTCACAGAGCTTGGTATGTGGCAAGCGTAATTAGTGTGTCTTAACAATATATCCGCAGTATTTTGATATTTTCTGACTGAACGAGGCTCCTATTTCATCTTAAGTGAAATGCAGTCGAACACAGAGGGTGAAAGACATATGGCCCTGTTGTGGTCAGAAGACCAGTTCTGGTTTCTCTTTAACCTCCAGCTGTCTTTGCAACAGGATTAATTACACAATGCTGTCCTTGAAGATGTTATTGTGTTCATATGCTGCACATATTTATCTCAGACTTATGTCTGTCCGCCGGATGGCACGTTAACCGGCTGAATCTGTGTTGGCGAAATGACAACTCAAATTATTTCAACACAAACGATATTGAATGTTGTTTTCGATCGCCGTGGACCTGAATCTTGTGCTGAAATTAATTTGTATGTACGCGGTTTGCAAGCACATACGTTCATACCCACCCCCCATTCTCCGTCCATATTTGTACTAAAATGTTAACAAAGCAACGTTTAGAAGAAATGCAATTTAAAGGCCAGTTTGATACAGCACTGGCACTCGGGGCCAATCCAGACACAATGGTGTAAAATGAATTATTCCGTTGGCAGTTTAATTTTCTCACTTTTTACATTTCCATTCTTCATCTTCTTCTTCTTCGCTATTTAAATGCCAAAGGCTGAATGCATGCGGGGATTGTTGGACTGATGTTTTGTGTTTTTGTTTTTATTTCTGTGACTGATAGCTTTGTTCGTTCTACTGTCCATTAAATCTCAAGGCTATTGGTCGATGTAAATGCTATACATAAGCACACAGACCGGACCGGGTTTGTAAGCAAACTCGTGATCAAGTCGATCTTTGTGAAAGGTGAGGAGAAGAAGCAAGGGAAGCCAGGCCAGGGCATTTGTGTACTATGCACTGGCAAAGATCAAAAGCTATGCATGGGTCTAGGGAATGGAGGAACTGCGAAAGAGAGAACGATCGGCCGGGATATTTATGAAATGTGGTTGGCTGGTCTAGACTGAACCAAACTTGACCGGACCGGCCAAGTTGTTTAATGGCATTTGTCGCTATGTGGTTTACCTTCTGTCGTCGTCAGGGGTGTTTCTTAACTATCGCGCGGTTGGAAGAGCCGCAAACGTCGACATCGTGATTTTATGGTGACCGCATATTGACGAAACCGGTTCATCTTGCTACTTTGCTTGGCTGGCTTGAGTTGGCGGTGCATGGGAGGTGTTGTGGGGTAACCAAAACATACGCATGCGTGTAGCTCCTTTTCCATTGCAAACCCGAACATATGCAAATACGTAGATCACACACAACCACCAGCAATGGATGGATGACATACATATTAGCTAGCAGCCATCGAGCAGAGTGCAATATTGAATTACTGCTTCCACTCCAACATTATTAGTGATGTAAATAGCCGTTTTCTTGCTTCTTGTTTTCTACTCTGCCTTGGTCTTTGTCATCGGCTTCAGTTGCTCGACTAGGCCAACAACACAACATCCACAGCTTGAGCGATGCTACCTGTCTTTGCCATGATTTCCGACAAATGTGTGCCATCGTCTTTCATCACCCGTACAAAGCCAATTGGCTAAGCTTCTTTTTTTTTTGAAGTGGTTTTTTTTTTGGTAACCGGGTATGGACTAATTGCGATTTGTAAGCGGTAAACCAACCTTCTGAATAACTTTTAACATTTTACTGCCGAAAATAAAACAAAGTAAACGCTCATGCAATGTAGACTTTGCATTTATTTAATGTCGACAACTGATGGCATTCAACCGGTTTTCATAGCAAATTCTCTTTGGGCGCTTATTCGCACAGCACAGCCGAAGTAAACACAACAGAGGAGCAACATTATCAGGGCATCGAGTCATAGCATTTATTCGTACCGCACCCCTTTACCAATTCTTGTCGTATTTTCTTATTTTCCATAACAAAACAAGATGCATGTTTCCACAGTTGCATGTTTCCTATTGAGGAATAATACTTATAAAAAGTGAAGATTTAATAGTTTGTTCACAACAGTTTAACAGGATTCGCGGCTAAATTTAAATAATAGTACTTGCCATTACATAGGTGTTTTATTTGTTTTCGATTTCTTCAATCCTATTCTGTGTCATTTTTATTTTGTGTTTTGTTCAAGTATTTTTATTATTTTGTATTGTAAATGTACGTGTACATTGATCATCTTTTCTATAAATGGAAATTCGAAACGTCACTAGTCAGTCACGAGGACTACTATACATATTGCTGGTTGAGAAAATGATCACACGAAACTGTTTACGAGTTAATTTAATTTCTATTCGGCGCATTGATTTTTCAAGTCACTGTAAACAACACCACATAATTTAGTACGTAAAAATCCAAATTCCAAGGAAGCTTCCGATGGCGCCTTGCAACACATAATAGTTTATTTATAACAACTTTTGACATAATCTATTCACATTTTAAGATAATGAGAATGTTATTGTCTGTGTGTGTTTTTTCTCAAATTCAAATTACAGTTGGACGAAAAATTTAGATATAAGCTGTCTTTACTGGGCGACATAATACAAAGGCCCTGATTGGAACTGCCAGGAAAACTAAAATTGCAAGAACAACCACAATGATTTAATATTATTAAAATACTCATACGCGGTTCCATGCAGGACACATTTTGTTTTTTAATATTTCTTTATTTACTAGATTACGATTTTGTGTGGAAACACAGCAGCGTGCGATTTATTTCAAATGTTATAAATCCACAAGGGTAGTGGTTGAATAAAAAGTTCTCCGATAGCTTTTTGTTTCTTTTTTTTGGAAATAATGACCCTAAAATAATTGTCTTCATTATAGGAGTTCGCTATAAAATGTTCGGCTTTAATTAACACATTTTATAAAGATTTGCCACGGAGTTCTGCTGTTCTATTTGAGTTTACGCTAATTTTTGATTCCACCAAGTATTCACTATTTTGGAAAACCCTATTTTGTATTGTTATAATAATCATTTATTATTAAAGTGTGAACTATTTAACTTTTATAAACACCCTTGAAAGTTGTTTCAAATGAAAAGTTTGGTTTTCTTGTTCAAAACAACGACTTGTTTTTTGGATGACATTAACAATTCCAGTGAATTAATTATTCAAAGACGATTAACTGACCGTTGTCAACTTTTGAGAATTATAATACCTTGGTAGATGTATGACAGCATATTGGTGGTCATGTATAACTGGTTTAAATTAAATGTTAATGTGCCAACAAGAATTTCAATATATATTTCATTGGAATTGCGTGGGTTTCATTTTCAATTGGAAGCACATGGAAATTGTTGTAAACAATAATTAGATTTAGACGGAACTCATGACAAATTTGTTTGTGTATATACATTTTTCTAAATAAGCAATAAAATGTGCCAATGAACCCTCATGCAACGTTGGGCGCCATTCAAAGTTACAAATGATGGCCACATCGAAAACAGTGACGGCTAACTGATTCCGATTGGGGCAGGTGTAACTATTAAATAGTTATTCCATTCCTCTGGTATTTACCTTCTAAATTTGCTTCATCACCACCCAAAGTCTAACTGTTTTAATTGGCCAGTTGGAAAGAAATTCCGTTTGCTGCAAAGTAGCCTTGTAAACGAAACAACGCCAGACAAAGTGTTTTTGTCACGTCACTGAAACATAACTTCACCGACGTAAGTGAAATGACGTTTTGTTGTTTGGAATTAACGTTTTCATGTTACAAAATACAATTAAATCAAGGCCGTTTGGTGCCAGCATGAGCTGTGAGCCAGTGACGCGACAGAAAATTAAAAAAAAAATATGTATATAACTATGCGGCATTCGGATGGTAACACGAACAACAATCACAATAAATGTATCTGAACCAAAGAATAACAAAGTTTGCTTTCAAGGCATTCCGAGTAGAGACATTAACGGAACTTAAAATTACAAATACTTCTAGATTTATGAAAACGTTGCTAACAAAATATTGATAAAGGTGTAAAGGTGTAAATGTAGTCGGTAGTGAATCCAAAAATTAAAATGTGTATTTTAGCGAGTCGATTATTATAAACAACCGACATGTATAAAACTATCTTAACATGTATTTATTTTCT